TTGCATTATTGCTCAGTTTTTTCTCTACATATTACTGTTAAGTTTGGTACTTGACTAGATCAAATTACTCACTGTTGTTGATAATCCAGACAAATTTTTGCAAGATTCTTATTCAGATGCATTGGCTAATCTAGACATTTTTTTAATTTGTCTGGTTCAGTGCAAAAACATTCCATTCTTAGCCAATGGTACTCTATTTATGCTGAGGTCTAGCTGTTTCGTTTTTGGCTTGGTCTAGCAGTGTTGATTAGTTATTGTGACTTAATGTGTAATACTCCAATCTGAGTTTCGGTTCATCACATTTATTTTAAGGAGATAATCATTTGTTTCCATTAACTACTGTTCTGAGCATGGATGGAGAAAACAGCAAAACACGCTGGGTAGCTGTTGTCACAATGGACAGTGCTAAGCTTCTGAATATTGCTCTAGATATACTAGTATATAAAGTTTGATAAAAATGCCCTTTGGATGCATTAAAGTTTATTAAATTATAGTTAAAGTAAAGGGCCCTTTTTTAAGCTTGGCTCAGAAAATTGACAGATTATTAATTTTCTTTATCTCTGATAAATAAAGTTTATAATAATGTCATGATCCCTTCAATTTAACGTGCTACAGGAAATCATTGTGATATTTTGAAGATATAATTAATGGCACATGATGATGATCGGAGTTGGATGCTGTTGCCTCGGTCATCAGTTGAGTGGCAAGCAGGTCTGGACAAATTTATTGATACTATTTTCGAAGGCACCTATGCATCAGAAACTGCACCATGTCCATGTTCAAGGTGTTGTGGAGTCGTGTACAAAAGAAAATCCGAGGTTCAAATGGAGTTGCTAACTAAAGGGTTTGATGAGAACTTTGTCAAAGAGAAAGGTAACGCTGGCATATTTTTGAATGATGAAAGGGATTTGAATGTAGGCCCACCAGATGATGCATCATCCGCCAACAATCTGTTGTCCACATTAATTAGGGATGCGACCAGTGGCAATACCAATGAAGAGCCTTGTGAGAGTGCAAAGAAATTCTTTGATTTGTTGAAAGATGCGCAACAAGAGTTGTGGCCAGGCTCACAGCTTACCAAGGTATCATTCTTGGTCAAGCTCTTTCAGCTTAAGTGCATGGGTGGATGGAGTAAGGAGAATGCAGAGCAAACACTTAGCCTATGGAGAGATACGCTCCCCCCAGGACATTGTATCCCAGACACTATCAAGAAAGCACATAAGATTATCCGCGACCTTGGCCTCACATACATTAAGATCGATGCTTGTGTGAATGACTGCGTGTTATTTCGTGGGCCGTTGGCTGATATGGACACGTGTCCAACATGTGGTGAGAGTAGGTGGAAGAAAGACGACACAAATTCTGATGAGATTGGCGAGTCTAGCGAAAGTGGTGGAGCAAAGAAGCGCACTCCTTGCAAAGTTCTAAGGTATTTTCCACTTACTCCTCGATTGCAAAGATTATATATGTCAAAGGAAACATCATCATTGATGCGGTGGCACAAGGAAGAATTGGTTAGTGATGGGAAAATGCGGCATCCAGCAGACTCATTGGCGTGGAAGCACGTGAATGACAGGTATAAGTGGTTTGATTCTGATCCACGTAATGTTAGACTGGGACTTGCATCTGATGGCTTCAATCTGTTTGGGATGTTGAATGTTAATTACACTTGTTGGCCCGTGATAATGATTCCTTATAACCTGCATCCTTGGCTGTGTTTGAAACAACCTTATTGGATGATGTCGATGTTGATACCTAGGCCTAAATCTCCTGGAGTGAACATTGATGTATATTTGCAACCCCTGATCGATGAGCTACATGATCTATGGGTTAATGGAGTTTTAACATGGATGAGAAGGAGAAGAAGAATTTTACTCTACATGCAATTCTGCTGTGGACAATTAATGATTTCCCCGCATATGCGATGTTATCTGGTTGGAGCACAAAAGGTAAGTTTGCTTGTCCTTATTGTCACAAGCATACTGATTACTAGTGGTTAAAACATGGCTCAAAGCATTGCTACTTGGGACATCGCCGATTTCTACCCATGAACCATAAGTGGCGAAGGAACAAGACGAGCTTCAATAACAAGGCTGAAACTAGGAAGCTCCAAAGCCAGCTTCAGTGAGTGAGAAGGTGTCATGGGACTATGAAAGTTTCCAAAGCAAGTGACTTTTGGAAAGGATACAAGGAAAAGGAAGCAACGTGATTTAAGAAAATAGGTGGCACAACCGGAGGAAGAAGAGTATTTTCTTTCAGCTTCCTTCTTCGAAATCATTGCTAGTACAACATAATTTGGATGTCATGCATATAGAGAAGAACATATGTGAGAGCTTATCGGGGACTTTGTTGGAGTTACAAGGTAAATGCAAGGATAGTGAGAAGGCTCGACTTGATATGCAACATTTGGGTATAAGGCCGATCAACATCCAAAGGTTTTCGAAAAGGGTAAGTACACCTTGCCACCAAATAACAGACTCTCTAGGTAAGGATGACAAGGAAATTCTGTGCAAATTTTTACATGGCGTCAAGTTCCCTAATGGTTATGCCGCAAATATTCGGAGATGTGTGGACGTCAATGGTTGCAAGCTTTTCGGACTTAAAACTCATGACCTACACGTAATCTTGCAAAAACTTTTGCCTTTAGTGGTGCGCAACATATTGCCTGAAGATGTGGTGACCCCATTGATGGAGCTAAGTAGGTTCTTTAACTCACTGTGTTCAAAGGAGTTGGAGTTTTCAGAAATTGAAAAACTGAGCACTTCGATTAGGGAGACCCTTTGTCGGCTAGAGATGATTTTTCCACCGGCTTTTTTTGATATTATGATGCACTTACCGGTTCATCTTGCTGACGAAGCTAGACTTGGAGGCCCGGTTTGTTATAGATGGATGTATCCAGTTGAGAGGTACCTTCGTACTCTTAAAGGCTATGTGAAGAACAAAGCGCGCCCTGAAGGTTCAATTGCAGAGGGGTATATATCTGAGGAGTGCCTCACATTTTGCTCTCATTTTTTTGAAAATATTAGTACCAAGCTTAATCGTCCAGAGCGTCATGAAAGCGCAGCTGCTAGTGAACCACCATCTAGGCTAATTATATTTGGGAGCCTTGACTACAATAGGAAAGGAAGTACTCTCGAGAAAGTTTCTGATATTGAAATGCATAGGATGAGGCATTACATATTAACCAACTGTGACGAGGTCACTCCATGGATAAAGTAAGCTATATTTTAAATTGTTTTTTATGGTGGTCATGAATGTTTAAAATATATATGTAACTAATGAACGTATTTTCAATTGTTGTGGATAGTGAGCATATGGATGAGCTGAAGAAAATTAGCTCAAGGCATGTTGATAAAAGACACAAGGAGGAGTTTGTATCATGGTTTGAGCGTAAAGTGAGTCGTCCCTAATATATTTATCCATATTTTATTTCTATAGTTTCCACATGCTTCTTGTAAATTTATTAGTCCGTAATAATAGCTAGCCACTTTGTCGGTTTATTAGTCCCTAATATATTTTTAAAATGATTAAATGCAGATCAGCACATTGCGTGCACAAGGGGAAATAGATGACATGATTTATTATCTATCTTGCGGTCCAGACCCTCGGGCTCGTGTGTTCAACAGGTGTTTCATAAATGGCTTCCTTTTTTGGGTCTCTTTCATAGAGAACTGCTTAACTACTCAAAATAGTGGTGTATTCGTGAAGGGCGATGCAAATACAGGAAACATGGGCTGGTATGGTGTGCTGAAGAAAATCATTTGCCTTGATTTTCATGGTGACAAGGAAGTCATGTTGTTCCACTGTGTATGGTTTGATGTCCCTGCAGCTAGTAGTAGCAGATCGAGAGGGTACAATAAGGATAAATATGGGGTCATCGATATTGATATCACACGGTTTAGGTATTCAGATGAACCTTACATCCTGAGCACACAAGCCGAGCAAGTTTTTTATGCGAGAAACATAAAGAAACCAGATTGGTGCACTGTCCTTAGAGTGCAGCCTAGAAATCTCTTTGCCATGCCTGAAGCAGAAGGCATTGACAATATGGGCGAGCTCGATCTGGACTTAGTTGTTGTAGGAATGGAAGATATGAATGTTCAACAACAAAATGAAGATGTCACAGCTTGGAATAGGTCTGGCCTTGATGGGGCTATCGTTGATGCTTCTGTTATTGAGCATGCTATTGCAACAGCCATGCCTGAACCTGAGCACGATGACCTGTTTGATGAAGACAAAGACCCAGATGACACTTACATTAATGACGGAGTCATCCCTCCATTTAGTACTCTGGGAGAAGATTCTGATGATGATTTTTTTGTCTAAATTTTTCTCAAGCAATAGAGGCATTGGGCTCCTGTTTGTTCTTGCTGCTCACTGTTTGTGTGTTCTTGCTGCTCGCTGTTTGTGTGTTTATCATCATGCGGCAACATGTGGAAGCTTTGATGCTTCATGGTATATATAACATGAGTAACTAGCATGGATTTGTTCCTGCCTCGTAGACTGTCGAAATTTGGTGCTAACAGAATCATTCATCTTTGCCTTGTTTCCCTCTCGTGAGGTGAGCAAATCTGTAACAGGTCATGATTACTTTTTTATTTATTTATTTTCAATGTCATGATTACTATTGAATGTTGCTTTAAGGTTTGATCTATTTTGCAACGCCACTGGATGTGTAACAGTTGCAAATGGTTTCAGGTTTGCTGCTGCAGCGGCTTTACCTGAAGGTGTTACAGAGTTCATTTCATTCATAATGTGCAAGAGTTGCTTTGAAGCATGAGTTATGCTTTGAAGCAATGTGACCAAGGGAACTACTGCAGAACTGTACATGTTGAGAGTAACAAGACGAAGATACACTAGAGAAAGGATCTCTGAAATTACATAAGGATGGAGACAATGGAAGACTCGACAGTATCACATTCAACCGTAGAAAATGCAACTTTACCGCAGCATAATTCTGCAGCTTCTTATGCCTAAACCCACTAAAATTGAACAATCATTCAACTGTTCTCAGTATCCTTCAACTGGACGGCCTTAGAAAATACATATGATATATCGGCCACGGGACCTTGAGCCTTGGTATCCAGCAGCTTCTGAGGATCGGTGCTGGCAGGCTGTTGTTGACGTCTGTTCTCCTGCAAGGCTTTCTCCCGCTGCTCATAGAAGTCGAAATCTTCCAGGATTGTTGTCTCAGCCTCATGGCTCTTGAAGATTGTAAGCATGTGGAGGTCCTGTTCCAGCTTCACCTGTATGTTAAGAGTTGGTGAATTTATTCAGAAATGCCAATCCACAGGAGTATTTGTATATCTAAATATTCAAACAAAACTATGACAAAACCATAAAAATCGACAAAACTCAGGTGCAGAGGTTGGAGTTTTGCAAACATTCCAAGACCTTAGCTATTAAAAAAAACTCAAATTCTGATACCGGGATGTCAAGAATCCTACGCTTAATTCTCAATTCCTGTCATTCTAGTCCCCAAAGCAGGCCGCACGAACCAATGAACCTAATACCTAGGGTTCTAGCGACAGAAGGTCGGCTCTGCGGGGGGGAGACGTTACCTTGCGCTTGAGGTTGTAGCGGTGCCATTCGGAGCGGTAGTGGAGCCGCTGCTGCTCCTCGTCGTCGAACCCCGCGTTGCAGGTGACCGTCGACATCCTCGCTCAGCTCCCTCCTCTTCGCTCGCTACAGATTCGGCTTGCTCCGGCGGGCACGGGCGAGGAGGACTCTCTCTTCTCTCCTTCTCCTTCCGGTGCCGCTTCGCCTTGTATGCGGCGGCGCCTCGGTGGTGAAGAGTTGGGGGAAGTGGCGGCGGGGCGGGGAAGAAGGGGGGAGGAGGAGAAGTAGGAGAGGGCGAGGCGGCGCGCTTGTTCCACTTCAGGCCGCCCATTAACAAAGTGTGTTGATTGTTCCACTTCTGTTGCCAAAGCTTGGTTCTTTAGTGCCACCTCGCCAATTCGGAGAGGCAAAACTCAGCTTAAAAGCTGAAGCCGCCAAACCACACCGAACTTCTCATATCAAGCACTATTCCGAAATTGTTACCCTTCTGGGCTAGTTGAGGCCGGTAGCTTTGCTGGGCTCCCCGTAGGGGTTGAGCTTGGCGCGGCCGCTGGTCCTTGGCTGGCCCACTGAAGTGCCAACTTTTTTGTTTTCTAATTCTATGCTAATCGTTCCAACTTAATTTTTTTTTAAACATATTTCTATCGTGTCCAGCTAGTAACTAAATATCATATTCCATTTTTTTCCTAATTCTATTATAATCATTCCTACTGACTTTATTTAAAAAAACATATTTCTATCATGTCCAACTAGTAAATAAGTATCAAACTCCTTTTTTTCTAATTCTATGCTAATCATTGCAACTGAATTTATTTATTTTTAAACATATTTGTATCCTGTCCAACTAGTAACTACGAATCATATTCCATTTAGTGGCATATCGTTTTGCCTGTCTTCCTATGTCAGTGATGTCGTACCGAGCATGCCACGTCGCCTAGATATGTGATATGCTCCTTTCGAGTGCTGTCTTATGCCATCGAGTGCCTAGCTCATCGTCTCCAACTAGTCACAATTTGTCCCATTTCATTCCATGTCTACATTGTTGTGGTGTAGTACTCAGTTTGCCATGTCGACTAGATATGTGTTCTAGACCTTTCAAGTTCTATGTCTTATGCCATTGAGTGCCTACCTCATCGTGTCCAACAAGTGCCACATCTTTGACTATGTTAGGTAGATGTTGTGTCATATGTAGCTAGGATGCCACGTCGAACAACAACTTGATATGTAGTCTCATCCTCTCGAGTGCCATGTCATATGCTACCAAGTGCGATGTCGTATGCCACCGAGTGCCTCATCATGATCATAGGGGCACGTCATTGCCTATGTCTCATCCATTGAGTGGCACGTCATTGCCTACTTCTAGTGCTACTACTACTTCTGCAGTGGTGTTGGTACCCACGGCGAAACCTTATAGGGGGTGTAAAACAGGCTTGGAGGACTTTGTAATGGGCTTGTAGTGTGACCCCGCGAAGCACCTAGGTAGTGTGAACCGTGATGTGGAAAACATGACTCATAGTGAAAATGTGCAATCTCTGTAGAGTGTAAAACCAATATATCAGCCGTGCTCACGGACAAGATCGACTTGGACTTCTTCGAGATTAGATGGCTCTGGTTTGTTTGGGGTGGTTCCCTTGGTAAGGGAATGGTTGGTTCAGTTGGGAGCTTGGATGGAATCCAAGTGTTGGTTTGGTTCTATGAGGAGAAGGCAGAATTCACCTAGTAATTAGGTGCAAAGGAATTAAGGAAATTAGAATGTGTCGCTTAAGCGCTGGTGTCAAACAAAGTTAGCCTATCCTTGCTATAAGCCTCATGTCACGTACGAATAAATTGATCCTGGCATACATATGTTGTGCATTCGATTTTGATTCTGGCATACGCGGCCGCCGAGCTCGGGCGAAACCCTAGCACGGCCTCCCTCTTCCTCGACCTGGCCCTGCGGCTTTTACCATTTTTTAGTTATAGAGACAAGCCCTCTCGAGAGAAATTTGGCTCCCAAATTTTCCCACAATACATAGATTAAATGAATTTCTTTGTGTCAGTTGGAACAAATTCCAAATTGAATTGTGTGTACTCCTACTGAAAAAATTACGTAAATATATATTTAAATTGTATGTATGCAAAAGTTATATTTGAAAAACTGCCCATATAAAATTGTGACATGAATTTGATCGTGTTTTGGGTTTTACCGTAGCGCTATCACGGGCATACTGCTATTTTTTTTAGGATTTGTCTATTCCTCACCCGAGTGAGCAATTACTCGATTTTTTCCTCTTTCCAATGGCACTATCCATCGTCCTACTCGGCCCCACCGCCGCCCACTGCCCTGCCACGACTGCACTACGCTGCTGCAGAGCTCCGGTGATTGGAACAAATTCCAAATTTAATTGTGTGTACTCCTACTTAAAAAATTACGTATATATATATATAAATGGTATGTATGCAAAGTTTTATTTGAAAAATGATCGTGTGTATAAAAAATGCCAGACCGCCTAAAACCCAGGTGAAGGCGCCAAAACGAAGGCTAAAAACCACAACAAGTGCCTGATTTCCTCCCAAAATTTTCCAAAGTTTCCCACCGCACCAAATTTTTGCGCACAAACGAAAAAAGAAAAAAGCGCCATATATCGTCGGTTCCTCCCCCGTACCTGCCTATTCGTTTCCCCTCCCCAAAATTAAATCGCGATCCGTCTAGGAGCCCCCGACGCCGCCTCCATGAGGGCAATGGCGCCGCCGCCTCCTTCCACGACGCCCCCGACGCCGCCTGCGTCCAGGACGCCGCCGACGTCGCCTCCAGCCAGGACGTCGCTTCCTCCTCAGGGCATGAGCGCCAGCAACAACGCCACCGCCTTGGGCGCCCATCGATATATTGAAGCCACCCTCGAACTAGAAGATGAACATGGGTTCTCTCGTCCATATAGCACCAGGTAGATTGTTGGCTTTGACTGCTGTCATCAGAAATCTAGTTTATTAGATTCCTGTTTGTTAGCACCAGGTAGATTGTTGGGGCTTTAGTTAGGGATGCAAACGGGTGCAGGTTTGCCTGCAACCTGCTAATTGGTTATTTTACATGTGAAGTTCCTAATTTGTGGCCTTAACATTGGTTATTTTACATGTGGAGTCCAGGACGCCCCCGACATCGCCTCCGTTGAGGACGCCACTGGCAACGCCTTCAGGCAGGACGGCGCTTCGTTCGCAGGGCATCAGCGCCAGCACAGACTCCACCGCCTTGGGTACCCATCGCCATCGATATACTGAGGCCACCCTCGAAGTAGAAGATGATCTTGGGTTCTCTTCTCCATATGTCCCCAGGTACAATGATTACTTAATCTAGGTTTTTTTATTCATATTTAATCTCGTATCACAGCAAATTCTACAAATTGTGAGGGGTTTAGGGTTTTCAAGCATTTGCTGCTTGCATATTTTGGTCATGATAAAAGCATAATTTTTTTTTCAATCTATGAGGATGGAATTGTCTGATTGTGTCATCAACTAGAACAAATTTTTTGGAACAAATTTTCTGATATTGAATGGATCTGGAACTCTGTCTTCAATGGGTTCACATCAAAGCAAGGCTGCAAAAATAACTGACAAAATAAAAGTATATTCAGTATATGTATGACAGGTTGACGTAATGTTGTCAAAATGATTAGAAACAAAGCCAATAGCTTCAGCATATGTATAACACTATACCTATGTCAAGATGTTATCAGTACTTTTTTTCACAGCTGCAACAGACACTGGCAAGCGTCAGGATGATTTCTTCAGGACTCGTAGTTATGTTCTTAGTAAGCATATATATGGTGTTTATTGCATCTTAGAAGGAGGCACATTTATTTAGTGAACAATTCAAGCAAAGATATGAGATTTGAACATAAATGTGAGAACTCTCACTGCATTTTTTAGCGCTATCAGGGATCTTGCTCTGCTTGCTAGCTCCATGTTGTTTATGTGATTTCATACTTATTTGTTTTTCAATATAAAGATATGTGTCTATCGTAGCCCTGAAATTAATCTGTCAAGCTCTTGAATGTTGGTAAATGCAAAGATATGTTACTACATCTACAGTTAAGTCAAATTCATTGAAGATCTAGCTATCCAATCATCCAATGTGTTAGAACACAGGTTAAATATTTTCTTCATAAAAACAAATTTCTGACTTACTGGTTCTGTCTCTTCTGGATGGTCTACTATAACATTATTATTATATATTACTACTGCTGCCTCCAGTAAAAAAAAGATGTTTAAGAAAAGGCAATTACTTGCTCGGTATTTGTTTTGCTTGTCTGAAATTACAGAAAGTAAACCCGTCTGTTTCGATTCAGGAATACAAAGTCTGAGATCGTTTTCTATGCTTAAATATCAATGTTTAACTACATAAAAATGTATGGATGTAGTTAACCTTTTTCTACATCAGGCATTGAATTTCTCATGTTGCATGTGCCTGCTCTATAATGGGATTACAGAAACCATCTAAAATAGAATCCTGAATTCAATGATATTTAGTTCAATTACTTATATATATGTAATACTTTACCTTTTTTATTCTTGTTTATTTATCAACCATTATCCTATTTATGCAGTGGCACGGGCGAAATGTGGACTCTTTATGTTCATTGCAAGAATTGACTTCCAGATCAGGATTATGTAATGTTCAAATTGGAAAGGCCTCATATAAATTTGTCAACCTTGACATCTCTTAAGGACCAGCTTGGGTATAATGCCTGGGACTTCTTGTACTACAAGAAGCGTTGTGGAAGAGATGTTGCAAGTCTTCAGCCCCTCGATTTTGTCAGACATGCAGAGATTATGCTACAAGACAATGAGAGTGAGAAGGAAATCAGATTAGTACTCTCAAAGGAACAAGAGACAGCACAGCAAGTCAGCATAACACCCCTCAAGCGACCAAGGCAGCAGCTGGAAGAAGATGAGCATCCGTTTATGGATGATCCTTTTGATGCATACAAGGACTGGCTAAAGAAGCTACGACCGGAACAATCCAAAAGTATATCATCTATGTTTTTGCATATGTTTTCGTATTAAGCAAAATCTTAGCACCTTTATATAAACTACACCTCATCTTACATTTTTTTGGTGACTAACAGATTTGAAGGATGACACTAGGCAACAAGCAGTCAACACGTACAAGGAATTTTTAAGGATGAAAGGGGACATTCCAGAAATTAGTAATTTATTTTCCTTCTTCAACCAATGTTGTTTAGTACTAATTTTTTTAAAACTGAACCTTTAACCTTGTGTGCAGTGGCATTTGTCGAGCAACGTGACACCGATGCAATCGTAGACGAAGACGACGAAAGCAATGGAAGCAATGCGACACCACCCTCAAATAGGCCAAGCCATGCAAGGAAGGCAAGAGACGAGGGAAACGGTTTGTGATAATGCATGTACTTTTAATATTGGGTTCACATATCTTAATTGAGAACTACTACAGCTCAAGATTGTTATTGTCTTTTTTGCAAGGACATGGCTCCAATGAACGCAAGAAAAGAGGTCGTGGCACTGTTAAAGGATTAACAGTAGGCAACAAGAGAGTTAAGGAACGCATTCACACACTCCCAATCAAATTTTCAGAAAGCCGTGGAGGACCCATTGGACCGAATACCCGTGCATTTGTCGATGAGGTCGTTTTATTTACAAGGCAATGGGACCCACTAATTGGAGTAAACAGTTGGAAGGATATAAAGGAAGAAGTCAAACTAGAAATTGCAGAAGAGATACTGGTATGATGTGTACTATTTTTGTTAAGGAACATTGCTGTTGCTCTTTTACTGTCCAAAAAAGTGAGTGTACAGATGTAGAAATTGTGATGTTGACATGTTGATTTATGCTAATGTCATTGTACTAACCTAATGAATTTATCCCTCAGATGCTATTAGATTTCTTTTCTTGATTGTTTCTTTCCTCATGTTGCTTCATGCCCAGCCATTGTGCCTTTTAGTTTAGATTTCAGCTGAAAGCATATTCTGTAAACCCTTCCCATTGTATACAGAAAAAAGGCATGTTCAGTTAACCTCTCAAAGGAGAGTTATTTCTATGACTTTAGGATAGTGTTTGATCATTTATTTGACAAATTGGATGTGTGAAGCGAAGTGGATGATTTAGCTTTGTCATGTAGTATGTTTCATTAAATAAGTTTATTTCAGGCTCTCCAACTAGGATTAGTACTGTTGCACTGGGTGATTAGTACTGTTGCACTAGCATGAATTTTTTTGATTTATTTTTCTACACGCCACCTTAGCGTTAGCACGGGCATTATACTAGTTCTGATAAAACATTTCATTGCTTTTTAATTGTAAACAGCTTAGGTGGAACTTCATCAACATTGATGATGTGGATAAAAGAAAAGAGAAAATATGGAAAATTGCCGAGGAGCGGTACAGAGGATGGCGATCTGATCTGAGTGCCACATACAAGGCTTATAATAGTTATGGTGAGAGGATATGAAATAAACCCGAAGAAATACACCTTTTTGAGTGGCACTACTTGCAGTTGTATTTTGGATCTAATAAATTCAAGGTCAGTGCTAGTAAAATCTACTTTGTCAAACAAAATTGATGGACCAAAGTTGCATTGTTACATACCACTTGTTCTCATTCTGCAGAAACTTAGCATCCAGAACTCCTCCAACCGTCAGCAGCAAAGAACCAAGCATGTGATGGGTTCAAAGAACTTCTCACAATGTAGCTTTGAGCTGGTAATCATTAGATACACTAATCTAGTCCTTCCCTTGTATGATGCAATACTTGTGTACTGAATTTTTTGGCATCCTAGAGAGACCAAGAAACTGGTGAAGAGCCAAGTGATCTTTTTCTTTGGAGGACCACTCACACAAAACATGGCGCATGGCCAAATCCTGTATCAGCTTCAGTATATGTAAGTAAATGTTTCGTCAACCTTTTTTATAGCTGCTGGTAGTGTCAAGCAACTCTTTACAGGTTCTGTTATTTAATTTAGGAAAATGCAACCATGAAAATTGGTGAGATTGGATTAGAACCTGATAGACCAGCACTTACAACTGTTGAGGAGAACATGATTTTCCAGTCATGCTACAAAGAAACAACACAAATCAAATCATCCAAATTACATGGGCATGGATATTTGGCTACGTATCGAACTCGCGGAGAACTTATGAAAGAGAACCTTGAAGTACATGCACGTGCTCAAGCTGCAGCTAGGGAGAAGAGCATTGCTTTAGAAGCGGAGGTTGACAAGCTCAAAGAACAGATTGCGCAAGAAGCTGCAGAAAGGGAAAGGGAGGAAGAAGAAAATAAGAGGAGGATGCAAGAGGAGCTGGAAAATGCTAAGATAAACTTAAGAGAAGAAATGAAGCAAGAATTTCTTAATATGCTAGCGCAGCACAAAGAAGGAGCTATGATTATGGTATTAGAATAATTTTTTTATCCTTTGTACTCTTGATAATCTTATGATTGTGATGCCTAATCTTTCACCCCCAATATTTGTATGTATAGAGTACCCTGTAAAACAATGCCAGTACACAAGTTGCACCAATCATAGAAGAGGAAGATGAGACCGGTGGACATGAAAATGAAAATGAAGATGGGTTACAGGAGGTAATGACATTATTTCACTATGTTCCATGTACCTTGAACTGTAACTAAAATAGATCAAACAACTTGATGTTTGTAGACTCAGCCTGGAAGCGTTGTCACCGTACAAAAAGGTGCACCAGCACCTACTCGCTCCACTAGAAGTACTGCACCTCCCAGCAGAGCTCTTTTCAACGAAAACACTGCAAATGTGACTGCATCGAAGACATATATCACTTCACAGCAGCTAATGAATAGGACAAGAAATAATCCCAAAAGGAGGAAGGCAACAACCAGCTAATTGGAATCTAAATTCTTAAATGATTTAATGAAATTTTATCAAATGTGACCTTCCTTGTTGAACTAGGAAATGTAGAAAATACATTGAACATGCGTGCTGAAAACTGCAGCTTGTGCAGGTTTGATTGGGTGAGTTGTTCTTAGTAGTAATCTACCTTTTCTGTGATACTTGATAATACAAAAGTTGTAGAGGGTTTAGAGATGTTTGTCGTCGTGAAAGGTCATGATTTTAGACCTAGAGAATTAGAGTTATGAATTTTGAAAGTAGCCGGTCAGGTTTTGACCTTGGTCTGGACAGCAGTGGGTGTTTGTGTTTTTTTTACCATGATAACTGTAGAATCTTATTTAACAAATAACTAGAAAGATGTAGAGAATTTCATGGGCTTTCCGTATTGTTAAAGAATATAATTTTTCGTTGTCTACAACTCAAGTTATGATTTTTCTAATCAACTAAACTGTTGCTGCCTTAAAAATTCAGAGAAGACAGATGCTACTGTAACATGACTTCCATCTTTTTCATGGAAAAAGGAATTGCAGCAACTAGACCAACAACATTTGCTCATTTGCAGAATTGCAGTAGAACTTCAACTATGCAAAAGCTTGGTTGATGGCTTTTGTATATGAAATTAGAAATTAGAACCATTTTATATCTTCATCTCTTTACATTTGTGCAAAAATTAGTAAACTTAATATTGTTCTAATATCCCAATCATATTCTTTTGGCAGTAGGTGGACAAGGTTTCAGTGGGAGGCTCATAATCAAGCGAGGACATAGCCGAGGAGATGACATGTTGGGCTGCTAGGAATTTCTCAAGTGCTGCATAGATGTTAGGAAGTTTGTAAAAAGTTGTCAAATAATGAGTTAATTGTACACTCGTTTATGATTTTAGCTACTATTTCATGGGTTTGGCAACATATTGAATGATTAATTATAATTAATATATGTGGGTGCAATTGCTTTTGATATGGTTTATTGATTTGCAATGATGATTTATTAAACCAAAATTAAATGTTACTAGCGTTGCAATAAAAGCTATACCTACGAGCCATGATGCGTGGCAATATGCTGTATGGCAACAGACTTATTTACGTTGCAAATAATACTATTGCCACGACATGACTATTGTTGCAATAACAATTAATCTTCCGCAACGAATAAAATTGTGTGGCAAATTCTACTGTTGCAACGGCACCGAGGTCATGGCAATAATGAACGGTATATCGCAACGAATAAAATTGCGTGGCAAATGATACTGTTGCAACGGCAACGCGGCCGTGGCAATAATGAACGGTATCTCGCAACGGATAAATTTGCATGGCAAATGATACTATTGCCACGCCAAGACAAGCGTGGCAATAATGTATACTCTCTCACAACGATTACATTTGCGTGGAAATGATTTACTTGCCACTGCACAACGGTCGTGGCAACAACACCTTAAGCAACAAAATTATAGCGTGGCAACAAAAATCTATTGCCACGCTATCACTCGTTGTATTTACCACCTCTCGCTACGAAGACAAACGTGGCAAGTGCTCGTATTGCCACGCCAATGAATGTTGCGATAACGTCCTATTGCAATGCTTGGCAACGTTGCAAGAAAAGCTAACTCTTGCAACGCCAAACTAGCAATGGTTGCAAGTTCTTATTGCAACGTGACTTTTTGCAACCATTGCCAACGAACGCGATTTCGTGGTATGAACTACCTTTTGCAACAAAATTGAGCCTATTGCAACGTTTTCTCGTCATTGCGCAAGGGTTAGAAGTTTGTAGTGTGAGGACTGCCTAGTGCAGATGTTCACCGAGGGAATAGATGGAGGTCGTCGTTTCTTTAAATGCCCGTGAGCATGGGTAATTGCTATTACTATTTGTTTCTTCAATATGTTCCTCTTCTATACAACTTACATGACATACTTATTGCAGTCTTCCTTGGCCGAAGAAAACTGTGGGTTCACTAGGTGAGTCGATCCTCGACCTATTTATCTACATGCGGAGTACATCTACTACCTGCAGGACCTGTATCTTCGATCTAGAAAGAATCGCCGCTTACACTGCTACCTCAATAGCAACAAATGTCAATAGGACGAACCTACGGAGTACAAAAGATTGAGAATATTCGACAATGACAAATTCACTTGAATTTATCAACACTACTTTTCAGCTAAAAAACAGTGTTTTTCTCTAACAACAAATCAGCATCTACAGCAACAGCCGAATTTCAGCGAGCCAAACAGGGCAAAATTTGAAAACATGTGCAGAGTTACTGTAAATAATTTGGAAAAATTTGCTGCAGGACATTGTTAAAATACATAATATGCTAAAGGACACCGCAACGAATGATATTTGCCCAGTACCATTACAAATTTGAGGTTCTTTGTCGTAACAAACCATAGCCAATATTTTTTTTATTTCTCAGTTTCGTGGAGAAAGAGGGTAGGAGAAATATTTAAACTACCCTTGTTTTCGGTGTCTGTGGCAACTGCACTTCTGCATAATAACCGGTACTAAAAAATTAAAGCAAGTGTGCTTCTGTTTGGGAGAGATCAACAACCGCATTACAGCGATAACAATGATTATTAAACAGGTTGTACTGCAGAGTTACAGAGCGATCCAAAACTCCAAAAGTACATTATTTCCACGACAAAACACATAATGACATGCATGATCGCACAGTGTTGTGATGGAGCTACTACGCACTACTGCCTACTGCACCGCTGCGTTGACCATGGACCTGTACCTCCCTGGTTGCCAGCGAAGAAGGCGACGAGCTGGTCCCTGTCCGGCAGGGACCGCCTGACGACCTCGTGGGAGGTGTACTCCTCGGCCCACCATCGCAGAGCAGGGTACTCGCCGTCCGCCACGATGCGCACCCCGGCCACCTCCTCCAGCACGCCGAGCCAGTGCGCCAGCGTGCAGGCGGCGAGGTCGACGAAGCCGATGTCGTCGCCGCCAAAGAACCTTGTCCCATGGCCTTGGAGCTCCGCGTCCAGCACCGCCAGGCTCGCCTTCGTCTCCGCGGCGAACCGCGCCCGCGCCTCGCCGTCGTCCGCCCACATCGACAGCCACAGCGGCTTCAATCACTTGGTGGCGATGAAGTCGGCCCAGAAGCGCGCGGTGGAGCGGGCGTAGGGGTCGGCCGGCAGGCTCCTGACGTAGCCGTGGGAGGCGAAGGCCTCGTCGACGTACTCGACGATGAGGACGGACTCGCAGACGGCGCGGCCGCCGTGGAGGAGGACCGGGACGGAGCGGTGCACGGGGTTGTGCGTGAGTGAGGTCGCTCTTGGCGGACAGGCACCCAACAGAATATCGGCTCCCGGGAGGCCGATAGGTACATGTCGGCATTCGAATAGCCGACAGGTCCCCTTCAATGGGCCGGCCCAATATCCATATCGGCTCACTGAAGGCCGATAGCCCAATAGGCTCCCCTGGCTGACAGGCCCCACCTCTTGCACTCGCTCTCACCGTGCGGGCCCCGTCCCCGCCTGGTGCTCCAGCGACGCCGGCGCTCGCTGCTACAGGTACGTGTGTTTTCCTTTGTTTAATTTAATTTTGTTAGTTTAGTTAGATTACTTTTGTTGTATTTGGATGTAGATACTGAGGCTCAGGAATTGGCATTGGATATCCCCAAATCCCCGTGTTTGAATGGTTTAGAGTTTGGAACTGTCTCTATGCTTCGCAGTGCGCTCTGTAGGTGTGCCAGTCCCAGTACAGAGCGTCAAGTCTTACACCCTGCCCCTCGTCGCCTTTTCTTTCACATCACCCGTTGCTCACTCTACTACTCATGGAAATTTTGTGAGCAATATGCAACACTGAGTACTACCTCCGTCCACGAAAATAATGCAATTCTAGTACAGTATCACGGTTTTATATCTTAAGTTCGATCAATTATAAATAAAAATGTATCAATATTTATGATATCAAATACATATTATTAGATTAATTACAAAATGTAATTTTTATAATAAATTATTTTTAAGCCGTAAATGTGTATAGTATTTAGTAGAAATTTTGTCAAATGTAAACTACTTTTGCTGGTATGCAATACTTAGTTGGATTCTTTTTTAGATACATGAAAATTTAAGACCTACACGATAAAGATGCAAATAGTGTTTTTGTCGCAGCATGGCAGGGTTAAATCTTATTTGACCACTCATAAATTTCCGAGAGAAGATAGAAATGCGTGGTGGCTTGAAAAGAGAGAAGGGGAAAGAACCGCTAGCGTCTTGGTTCGGTGACTCTATAATTTTTCCCTTATCAAGAAATAATAGACGACCACAAAATAGATTTTGGCCCGGCTTGTTTTAGGTTTTTTTACTTTTAGATTCTAGCTTCGCAACCTTTCAAAAAACAAAAACTCCCGTGAGCCAAAAGCCTAAAAGTTCCCTTTGACAAGATGCTGACTTTTGGTTTCAAAGAGTTTTTTTGGCTTTTTGAAGTTGAAGGACCCAAAGCTAACATCCAAAAGCTCCCACGAAGGTCCAAACAAACAGGTCCTTTGACCCATAATTTCTCTTAGGCCTTATTTGGATGCACTCATATATATCCCAATCCATTTGGGTTGGAGTGGATTGAGATGGAAAATAGTTTAAGTTCCACCCCGAATCCACTCCAATACTTGTGGATTGAGATGGATATGAGTACATGCAAACAAGCCTTTATAGTATATAGTCAATCTTAAAGAATCAATACCACCTTAGAGCCACTTACACAAATCTATTGATGTATGTTTTATGCTCTAGACTTTCACATAATTAGTCATAATTTGATTAATTATTGGTCAAACTTTGTAAAATTTGAGTTTTTCTTTAGTCTAACATGCCTATCATTTTTTGACAGAGGGAGTACCCCGGATCAAAATTCCTATGTGCTACTAGATAATACACCGCGCGTTGCGGCGGAAACTCTAAATGTTACTTCAAAAATAGTTGTTGCATTTCGATGGTTGTGCCATGGGTTGCTAAGGGGTTTTAAGTGAAACTGAAAACCTATCAATGTAATTGTGTGAAATCAAATAATAAAGTTGTATTTCATTTCTGGGCCAACATGATCTAGCAAGCCAATGCCAATGACGTATGTATCCTAGATAAATTTCAAGAAGATCAAAGAATTGAAGTCCACACTGGACCATGATACACGCCGAAAGCATCGATAGAGTTTTCAAATTGATTGACACCAGCTAGGTCCAATTATCTTGAAAGGATCGCCTCTTACACTGCTACCTCAACAGCAACAAATGTCAACAGGACGAACCTACGGAGTACAAAAGATTGAGAATATTCGACAATGACAAATTCACTTGAACTTATCAACACTACTTTTCAGCTAAAGAACGGTGCTTTTCTCTCACAACAAATCAGCATCTGCAAGCAGCAGCCGAATTTCGGCGAGCCAAAAGGGCAAAATTTGAAAACATGTGCAGAGGTACTGAACATGCATGGTGCCAAATAATGTAAATAATTTGGAAAATTTTGCTGCAGGACATTGTTAAAATACATAATATGCTGATGGACATCGCAACGAATGATATTTGCCCATTAACATTATAAATTTGAGGTTCTTTGATGTAACAAACCACAGCCAATATTTTTTTTATTTCTCAGTTTCGTGGAGAAAGAAGGTAGGAGAAATATTTAAACTACGCTCGTCTTCAGTGTCTGTGGCAACTGCACTTGTGCGTAATAACCAGTACTAAAAAATTAAAGCAAGTGTGCTTATGTTTGGGAGAGATCTACAACTGCATTACGGCGATAACAATGATTATTAAACAGGTTGTACTACAGAGCTACAGTTACAGAGCGATCCAAAACTCCAAAAGTACATTATTTCCACGACAAGACAACACATGATGACATGCATGATCGCACAGTGATGTGATGGAGCTGCTACGTACTACTCCTGCCTGCTGCACTGCTGCGTTGACCATGGACCTGTAGCTCCCTGGTTGCCAGCGAAGAAGGCGACGAGCTGGTCCCTGTCCGGCAGGGACCACCTGACGACCTCGTGGGAGGTGTACTCCTCGGCCTACCGTCGCAGAGCCGGGTACTCGCCGTCCGCCACGATGCGCACCCCGGCCACCTCCTCCTGCACGCCGAGCCAGTGCGCCAGCGTGCAGGCGGCGAGGTCGACGAAGCCGATGTCGTCGCCGCCAAAGAACCTCGTCCCATGGCCTTGGAGCTCCGCGTCCAGCACCGCCAGGCTCGCCTTCGTCTCCGCGGCGAACCGCGTCCGCCCACATCGACAGCCACAGCGGCTTCAATCACTTGGTGGCGACGAAGTCGGCCCAGAAGCGGGCGGTCGCGCGGGCGTAGGGGTCGGCCGGCAGGATCCTCGGCGTGGCGTCGTCGTCGTGGGAGGCGAAGGCCTCGTCGACGTACTCGAAGATGATGAGGGACTCGTAGACGGCGCGGCCGCCGTGGAGGAGGACCGGGACGGAGCGGTGGATGGGCTTGTGCGTCAGCAGGAGGCCGCTCTTGGCGGACAGGTCCTCCACCAGCAGCTCGTACGGCACTCCCTTGAGCGCCAGCGCCACCTCCACGCGGTGCGCGAACGGGCTGCCGAACGCCGTGATCAGCTTCACCGCCTCCGGCTGCTGCTGCTGCGGCTGCGACATCTCCTGAGTCCTGACAGATGACGGACTACTAGTGGCTGAATTCGCTGCCGTCTTGATTGATCGCCGTCGCCCGTAGGTGATTAGCGACACATGCTGTGAGTGATGATCGAGCTGCGTGATGATCGATCGTCGGCGTGTGCGTGCGCGCGCACGGCCAGGCCACGAGGCAACAAGTTCAGAGAGCAGAGTAGCTCGGCTTGCAGGTTGCAAAGCGCTGGTTGTGTTGTGCAGGGTGGTTACTGGTCAGAGATGGTGGACTGCTTCTTCTGCAAGGGAATGAAGGGACGAGGTTATCTAATGTCTCTGTCAGATCGGTATGGTTTGATTTCTTCATGCACATTGAAGGTGGAAAGTTGTAGGGAATACAAATACCAGGCCAAACGCTATAGCTAACATTCATGGTTCTAAACGTATTAAAATCATCGGTGGCAAATGCTAGACGGATATTTCGACTATTTGGAGCAAAATCTGGATGTTTCTTATCAAAGTCTTGCCATAGTGGTGAATCTGCAGGATGCCTAAGCAGACCATCCTTTTTACGGTCTTCATCATGCCATCTCACTAGACTTGCTGTTTTAGAGGATAGAAATATCCGTTTTAGACATTTCTTTATTGGAAAGTAGCGGAGAACATTTTTAGGAACCTTATATACATGTTTTCCATCTAGGCTCTTCCTTACTGATTTCCACCAAGAAGCCTTACATTTTGGACATGAATCCAACCCCTCGTTATCTTTCCAAAATAGAATGCAGTCGTTATCACAAGCATGAATACTAGTGTATCCGATTCCTATAGATTTCACCAATTTCTTAGCTTCATGAAAGTTTCTAGGCAGTGTCGAACCCTCAGGTAGTGCATCATTAAGTAGATCTAGTAGCATGTTAAAACTCTTATCACTCCACCCTCCGAGGAGTTTGGTGTGGAGTAATCTAATTAGGAAACGCAGTTGTGTATATTTCTTGCAATTAGGGTATAACTCTTTGCTATTCTCTGCTACTAACTTCTGAATGGCAACTAGCTCCTCACAGGGTTCTAGGTCTGAATTGTTGTCATCAAAATCCCCTTTATCATCTAAACCAGCAGCTAAGTCCCTAAGCAAATCAGAGATGTTATCATCTTGGTCAGTCTCCTCCATAAGTTCAACACCATCAAAGTTTCCATGATTCATAGAAGAGCTAACTTCTCCATGTAAGGTCCATGTTCTATACCCTTTTAGAAACCCAACACATATCAAATGCTCACGTACTTCACTTCCCTCCCTCCAAAATGAGTTAACACACTTTCTGCAAGGGAATAGTATCTTGCTTCCTACCGCTGAATTCTCAAATGCAAAAGCTATGAAATTGTTCACCCCTTGTTGATATATCTTGGTGTGCCTACATGCAGTTTTTAAGTTAATTCCCATGTTAACTACAAATAGAACTTTCAGTCTTTGTGAAATAAGTATGTGTACCTAGCATCATTATCGATCCATGATTTATCCATTTCCCTTTGTGAAAGATCAAGCAGCTTTAGAAATGAACTATAAAATAAACAAGACCATAAGAATCAAAGTAGCTACATTCTGTCAATCATGCTCATATCCATGAAGCCACGGAATGGTTTTAATTTAAACACGATTGCCATGTTCCTGTCCACACACAATATTAAAAAGATGGCATACAGAAAGATGATCATACCGGTACGCACAAGAAGAGCAACCGCCAATGTTGTGGATGTTCAAATAATCTCCAAAAGGTTGCAAGTTGCCCACTTCGGCTCTAGGCTGGGGTAGACAGTCCTGTGCAGATTCTTTCACCACTGACTCCAACGCACCAAAGTGTAGTATTACTATGAATACACATGACATCAGATCAGTACATGTACAAGTATGTTGAGTCATGAATTGCAAAACAAAGTAGTGCAACAGATAGATTAGGCCAAAAAATAAATCTTCATTCTTGTTTTCTATTACTTTGTACAGAAACTCATCGTAGGGCACCTCTCCCTCGCAGCCACTCCAGCCCACGCTGTAGTCCTTGTCGTCGCGGATCCCAACAGCTGCGGCAAAGAAGCGTTAGGGACCAAGAACAGGATCAGATTGCTTGCCTGATGGAATCGATGAGGATGAGGCGGGGGTCACTCACAGTCGCAATTGAGGGACGCGTGCTGCACGGCGGGGGCTGGGGCACCAACTGCGCGGTAGCGGCGACATCAGTGTTGGGCGGCGTTGGGGGAGTTAGGCGGCGGCGATGGTGAAAGGTCCTAATATGGCTAGAGGGGGGGTGAATAGCCTATTTAAAAATCTACAAATCAACTAGAGCAATTTGATTAGTATGACAAATAGCGTAATGCAAACTTGCTCTAGCTCTACAAGGGTTGCAAGCCACCTATCCAACAATTCTAGTTGCAATGAATACTTAGGCACACAAACTAGCTATGTAATTACTCACTAAGAGCTCTCAACCTTGCTACTCTAAAGAGCTCAACTAGATGAATGTAAATAATAAAGCAAGCTCTCAATTCTAATTACACTAAAGAGCTTGTATCAACTAGTTTGCAAGAATGTAAATGAGCGAGTAGAGTGATTATACCAACGTGTAGGGATGAACCAATCACAAGATGAATATATAGCCAATCACCGGAGAATGACAAAGAAGAGAGACAATCGATTTTCTCCCGAGGTTCACGTGTTGCCAACACGCTTACGTCCCCTGCTAGTGTCGACCAACACTTGGTGGTTCGGCGGCTAAGAGGTGTTTCACAAACCTCGTCCACACGATAGGACACCGCAAGAACCGACCCACACGTGAGGTAACTCAATGACACGAGCAATTTACTAGAGTTACCTTTCGGCACTCCGCCGGGGAAGGTACAACTCCCCTCACAATCACCGAAGGCGGCCACGAACAATCACCAACTCGTGCCGATCCTTCACCGCTGCTCCAACTGTCTCAGGTGGTGGCAACCACCAAGAGAAACAAGCGAAATCCATGAAGAACACGAATACCAAGTGCCACTAGATGCAATCACTCAAGCAATGCACTTGGATTCTCTCCCAATCTCACAATGATGATGGATCAATGATGGAGATGAGTGGGAGGGCTTTGGCTAAGCTCACAAGGTTGCTATGTCAATGAAAATGTGCAAGAGTTAACCCTTGAGCGGCCATGGGGCTATAAATAGAGCCCCCATCAAATAGAGCCGTTATACCCCTTCACTGGGCAAAAGCGCGCTCGACCGGACGCCCGGTCGGGCGATCGACCGACGCCGCTCTCGGCGTCCGGTCGCTTCGATGTCGCCCACGTGTCCAAACTCAACGGTCATCACCTCGACCGGACGCTGCTCCTTGAATCGACCGGACGCCTGAAGCCCCGCCGTCCGGTCGTTTCCAGAAGCTCCCGAGGCGTATTTCTTCGACCGGACGCGTCCGTCCACCTTTGACCGGACGCAGACCAGCGTCCGGTGCTCAACCTTCCTATCAGGTGCCGCCCGAAGTCAGCTGACCGAGACCGACGCCAGCGGTCGTCGTCGGTGCTTACGGATTCGGCGTCGGTCCGCACAGACCGACGCCAACATCATTTCGACCAACTCCATTTCAACTCTAACTTCTTCACCCTTGCTCAAATGTGCCAACCACCAAGAATTTTGCATCCGCGCAATAGAAAATAGACATTTCATTTTTCCAAAAGCGCCGAATCCCACCTCATAAGCTCGGCGGGAGGGAGAGAGGGACCCAAACCCATCTCAACCCTGCAAACACCTTGTGCACATGTGTTAGCATATTTTCACAAATATTTTCAAGGGTGTTAGCACACTCCACTAGATCCTAAATGCATATGCAATGAGTTAGAGCATCTAGTGGCACTTTGATAACCGCATTTCGATACGAGTTACACTCCTCTTAATAGTACGGCTATCTATCCTAAATGTGATCACACTCACTAAGTGTCTTGATCACTAAAACAAAATGGCTCCTACATTTTATACCTTTGCCTTGAGCCTTTTGTTTTTCTCTTTCTTCTTTTCCAAGTTCAAGCATTTGATCATCACCATGCTATCACCATTGTCATGATCTTTGTCATTGCTTCATCACTTGGAGTAGTGCTACCTATCTCATAATCATCTTGATAAACTAGGTTAGCACTTAGGGTTTCATCAATTAACCAAAACCAAACTAGAGCTTTCAGATGGTGGAGTTGGATGGCAGAGGATGAGTTGGGCGGGCGTGGGTAGAGGAGGCGACAGGACTTGCGACGGAGCTGGAGTTGGGCAGATTTGGGCGGTGACGGAGCCGAGTTGGAGGGCGACAGTAGAGCAGGAGTTGGGCTGGCGGGCGACGGCGAGTGCTAAGAGGAGGCCGTAGGACCTGCGATGGACCGACCGTGCCGGGCGACGTCGCAGAAGGGAGGCGGGGGACTCGAGATGGAGCCAAGCAAGGCGCGCGAGAGGAGGCGGCGGGGCCTGCGATGGAGCCAGGCAGGCGGGCGTAGAGAGGAGGCGGCGGCGGTGACTGGACTAGCTTAGGCTGAAAAGTAGTGAAGAATGAAAAGCTAGGGTTTGCATAGGAAGGTATTTGGGCCTAATTTTACTGCGAATGGGCCCTGTTTCATTTTCAGTCTCCCGTGAACCTGTTCTTTTATTTCCACACCGCGCGCCAAAGGCACGGCCCTATACCGACCGAAGGAGTGTCCTCTATACTGATCTAAACCGACCAACTGTTTGACTATATAGGTAAATATCTATATCGACCGATGGTTTATCGCAACATGTACATTACCGACACTTGATCCGTGGGCTAGCTATACCGACCGATGGTGCAACGGTATTAGTATATTTATAACGACACACATGTGACGCTATATTAGTATTGTGGTGTAGTGTATACGTGCGTTGATGACGTCATGCTCCGTAAGTGGTCGCATCCCATCCCGCCCCTGCGGGCGGCGTGTCGGACAGGGGTGTCGGTCTGTGACACTGTGGGAGGTGAAAGGTGCGGCGCCCACACACCTGTCCCTACA